GGGGAGCTTCGAGTACCCCAAAAAATCAAAATATCGGATACAAATTCTAAGAGCAGCGGCATCAGCTGCGGCCATACAATTGAGAAATATCAAATTTGGAGAAAATCGGCTTAATGACGTTGTACGTTATGCGTTAACGTTGTGCACAGACAGACGTTTGCCTGACAGACAGATGTTGTGCTGTCAATCGATTTTTCGGAATAAAGATCGTCCAAAACTTGGATTCTGGCTACACAACGTGTTAAGTGATTTTTTTATATTTTTCTCCTGGATTTATACACTTTTTCGTTACCAGGGCCCGGCAATAAGAGTTTTAGAGTCGAATGTTCGCCGTTTTCCGGTGCACGATTACAATTACTCTTCTTAGGTAAGTAATAGCGGGAAAGTAGAAAAAATATGTTTTGGCAAAGCAAGAAATAATTGACTAGTTGTTATCGATTGATGAAGGCTTAGATAATTCGTATTTGAAAGTTGAAAAAATACGCGAAGTTTACAAATAATACGCTAATGAATGTGATAAGTATTTTGTAGATAAATGGCAAAGTCAGCTGGACATGTTATGATTGCTTCCATAGTACCGGGTATTAAATCCCATTGAAATAATGTGGAGAGATATAAATTACATGATGGTCGAACCCTGTTTGGTATGGCATTGTCGCACTCATTAATGATAATAGCTGTAAATCAGCCATTAGTCGTATTTGCAAACTGTCATACTGCCTGCCGGGATTATTATTTCCTCTCTCTTCCAAATTTGAGTAGGTTAAGCAGAGTTTCAGACACTCTCCCCCTCTCCCCTCGGAGATTTTCCTCCTCGTTATATACAGAGTCTTCAGGCTCAAATGATTGAAATGAAAGTGGATGATACCGACTTCACGAAAACCTCCCGCCATTCTAACGACATTGGTTTAGAAACTTTTCGTTACTAGTCACTTTTTTGTCACTTGGAACTTTTTTGTCAGCCTTATTAATAGTAACAATAATATCGATAATAAAAATTATAATATAAATATTTGTCAATGAAAATCGTTTTAAACAATGTATGACAAGACATATTGCTATAAAAATTCCTATTCAATAAATTTTGTGTACTAAATTTACATTGCTTTGAACATACAATTACTGCTACAACCATTGATTCTTTCACACTCTCATGGAAATAAATTTAGTACTTTAAATGCGAGACAGTAATTTCTTCATAAACTTATATATTACATTATACATTACATTAATAGTATATAATAGTATTGCCTAATGTAGTAATATGCTATTATATGGTTATTATATAGTCGTAATGTTACATATATAATTGAGTATAATGTATTGTTATTACTGTATACAAAAAGCATAATTACTCATGTAATATTAATTTTATTTTTTTTTAATTATAACAAGTCAATGCCTTGGCATTACATTATATTACTACACACAGACAAAAGTCTTACATGAGAATTTTATCTCAGGTAAGAAATGTCATTCATAATTATATATTTAAAATTTGGCACCAATTGAAATTTTATCACAACCACAGTTCTTGTTTTTTCTTTGATAATGTATTTAAAATTTCAATTGCAATTCTATTTATATATATTATATTTCTTTGTTTATAAAGTTCTTCCGAATTTTAAACTGATTCTATTGCAGAACACCTGATTATGCGACTAATTGAGCTGCGAAACGTAGTGATAGGAGCATAGATGACAATAAAATAGTAATTGTTTTAAATATGAATTGATTTTATTGCATTTAAGTAAGAGGTTAGCACTGCACATAATAGTATTCAATAGTTAGATAATCTTTTTTATCTCCATTGTATTATTATTGTTATTATTATAAACTTTGAATTAAATTGTTTATTAACCTTTTATGATATCCTATATGTTCGTTTTAATTTCTAAAAAGCTATCTCTATGACTAGTCATTTATTCATCTTTCATCTCAAATAGTCTTCATGAATTCATCGTAAGATTTAGGAACTAATTGCTAATTCAATTTTGTTGATAATGTCCATATTCTTTTAAATTTCTAGGAACTTGTTATTGGGGTGCTCACCTACATACACCCCTTTTGACTGAGTGTTTTTGAATACAGGTGTTAATGATTTGATTGCCTCTTTGTACATTTAGAGATACTTTTATAGTTTTTCCTTTTACTTTTTGGTGTTCTCGTTTAACAAATGTAATTTTTTCCTCTAATAATGTTTTAATAAAAGAACTATAAATGATTTAAAGAAAGGTCTACACAATTCAAGTCTGTCAATATTTGATGAAGCTAAAGGATATTTTCATGAGCTAATTTTATTATATTTCAATGTCCTGTGTTCGTGGTGCTTAACGCTAGAGAATTATTGAAAATATTTAATATTTCTCACTCACGGCTGACCCAAAAAAGTGTATGTCGTTTACTATGAAAACAAAGATTTATTATTAAGTCGGGTCAGAAAACTCATGAGCAGATCAAAAATGTGGGCATCATAAGTCAAATTAGACCAATACTGCTAACATTTTGTGTAAAATGTGAAAATTTGAAAATACATATTTATTGTCAATGTTCCCGCGAGCTAGTACTGCGTTTAGGCGATCTCCGCTTTAAAGCCTCCTTAAAATGCAACCTGAACAAGCAAATGTACCGCTTCACAAGCACAATATTTCCAACTTCAATCGCATCATTCAAAACAGAGATTGGATAAGGAACTTCACTGACGAGGGTGCGTTACGTGGGGCTGTGCACGCTGCGTCCTCTCGGGGCGTTCGTTTAACGGACGAGGCGTCGGGGGGGGCGCGTGTGTCGCTTAGCATGCGTAGTCGCGCT